CAATTATGATTTCAGGGATGTTGAGCCAAGTGCAACGGAAACAAATGTAAATACAATAAGAAACATATAGAGAGCTTAGAGACACAAGATTTAACGTGGAAAACCCTTCAATGTGAAGGGAAAAACTGCGGGACAAACTCCAAAATTTCTTCCACTAAAGAAAATGGGATTACAAGCACTAATCTCTCTAATCAATAGAGAATGACTTCAAGAGAACGAACTCTACTAGCTGAACTCTCTCTCTTACACAGAGGAAAAACACCACTCGCATACTGTTTCTTCTTCTCTCTCTACATAAAATTTGTATGATAGTCACTTAAATAATACAGCGAGCAGACAACCACCTTCTAGATAATACACCCACCAATTAATTATATGGCTTCTCAAAAAATACCCACGATAGCTGTGTAATAATTATTTGTCTATAGATGTGCATCTCATACAGATGAGCATTAATGATAAATATTAATTTCACGAGGGGGGAATTCCAACAAGGGACAATCCATTGAACTGTGTTTAGTTTACCCTATGAGCCCATTTTAAAATTATATAATATATATTTGAAGACTGGTAGATAGGTGTATAATTTGTTGGTCGATGGGAGACTAGTAGTTGAGTTGAGAACCCATTTTTCTCCATGCCATTTGTTGTGCTGCAATGTGCTCAACTGCTGATCTTAATGGTAGGAGTGAAGGTCCAGCCAACTAATTGACATCAAAATCAATTCAGTCTCTTTCCGTGTCATCTTCTTCTTTCCCTGTCGTCTTTATGTTGTGTGTCTCCACAGGGACCAACTGTCGATACATTTTTACGGTACATGAATAAATACTTTTAAACTCTAGAGTTATAATCTCCTAATGCATATTAGTATTAATTTCAAAGTTATGAGTTTATGAACATTGACTGGTAACAAAACAGTGTATCTATGATTAATCGAGAAGATCAAGGGCGAAGCCACTCATAGGCTAGTAGTGGCCTTGGCCCTCCAAAATTTCGAATACATGTACAATAGCATGCCATTGCATATAAATATTGCAAGAAAACTCTTATATTTCTATTAGTAGTTGTTGATCTAAAACCCTTTTCGTCCCCTTTTACTAGTTTAAAAATAATATGGAAAATCATGATGTGACCTGTGATCATCTTTCTCGAGATGTGTGAGTGGTGCAAGGTGTGCCAGCACAGTGACCTCAATGGCCGTGCGTGCAAGTGAGTGTAACATACGGGGTGCATAAATGTGCATGATTTTTATTTTCTAACTGATCGATCGTGGTCAAGGAAAGAACACCGCTCAACCGTCAATTCTTTTACGTACCTTGGCAACAAGGCTTTTTTGTATTGTTAGCTCTATGTCACTGAGTTTGGCAACTGAACCACATCTTCACAAATAAACTCAAAAAATTTAAGAATATTTCTGTAGGTATGGATTAAATGATGCTTAAAATAAACTCTGAATCGGAACAAAGACAATCTTATTGATGCATTGAATGAATGTTTACAGTGGATTAGGGCTCGTCAATGGGCCGGGCCGGGCTAGGCCCGGCCCAAATTTAACGGGCTTGGGCCGGGTCGGGCCGGGCTTTAAAGAGGAAAGAGAAAATATCGGGCCGGGCCGGGCCGGGTTTTTTTAGAAAATTCAAAGCCCAAGCCCGACCCATAGGTCGGGCTTGAGAAAGTCCATTGGGCCGGGCTGGGCTAAGCCCAACGGGCCGGGCCGAAACGGGCCTACTTCATTCGAAAAAAATCATAAACTTAATTATAAGGCATTTTAGTCTAAATTTGAGATTAAACTCACTTAATTCCAATATTTTCACATCAAACCAAATTCATAAAATACCCAATAAAGTCACACAACTTAATAAGATTTTCCACAAAAATAATAAAACAAAGTATTATTTTTGAGGTTATTACATAATTAGACCGTAATACGTTTTAAGAAATAATTTTAAAAAATAATAAGTATCAAAAAGATATTTTTTTTAAAGGATGGTATAAATAAATATGTAAATGTTTGGTGATGTGTTCAAGAAAAATATTATTATATTTGGTGGTAGTAGTACGATTATGTTTCGTGATATGATTATATTTAGTGATATGATATATTGTTCATCTTATTTATATATATATAATTGTTGTATAAATAATTGACACAAATTAATGTGCTAATCATCCAATTATAAATTAGGAATGAGTAAAGAAAAGTAAATGAAATGAAACAAATTATATATGTGATTTAAGTGATATAATCCTAATCCTAAACTCTTATTTATACATAATTATATATGTATGCGGGCCTAACGGGCCGGGCTTTTGTGGGTGGGCCGGGCCGGGCTTTCTTGGGCTTAATCGGGCCGGGCCTATGGGTCGGGCCGGGCTTCAAACACCCAAGCCCAAGCCTAGCCCGGCCCAAGGCGGGCCGGGCCATCTCAAAGCCCATAACGGGCCGGGCCGGGCTTTTTTCCAATGGGCCGGGCGGGCCCCCATCGGCCCATGAGCCCGCGGGCCAAATGATGAGGCCTACAGTGGATGGTGCTCAAAATTTGATGTACAGATATCTTATTGATATGATATCATACTTTCTTGTCACAATAGGATAGATGCATGATGAGCAATCAAAACAAAATATCAATGTCCCGATCAAAAAGTTGCATGGTGAAAGTGAAATTATTTATAAAAGAAAAAGTTACCCAAAAGTTAAAGAATACCATATTTTTAAAATATAAAAAATTATTTTTGGTCCTTATAATTTACCATTTTTACCACTTTGATCCCTGTCATTTTAATTTGATCAATTTTGTCTCGGTAATTTCAATTCCGAGCAATTCAAAGACAATCCGCAATTTGTTGTCATATTACTTTAATACTTTAAGATAATGCCCCTATCAAGAGATATTCCATGCCCATACTCTAAATTATCTTTTGCTTGCATATGCATTTCTTTGAAGGAGGAAATTATCTCTTGCAAAATTTATAGTATCGTTTGCAAGGACTTGTCAAATATATACACTGTCCAACTAAAATAATAGACAGGTGACCAAAAGCAAACTAAAAAGAATAGATGCATGTGTAAACCTATGCTACATGATAAAGAACCTAGGACCCAAATTATTTGTCAAGTCATTAATTTGTAAATTAGTAGCCTGTGACTGGATGAAAGTATTCTCTCTCTGTCGGTCTGCCTCTCTCTGTGTGCCTCTGTCTCTCTGTGTCTGTGTTGTGTGTGTGTGTGTGTCTCTCTCTCTCTCACACACACACACACATACAAAATACATGCTTATCTTGTTCTTCTATCAAAAGCATTCCAAGGTGTGGTACATTTCTCAACCCACCAGTCGCTCCCCAAACCAAACCTTCCTATGGGCTATATTTGTCTTGAGAATTCCAGAAGCTCTGATACCACTTGTCCTCACATCATCACCCATAGAATTCTAATTTAATGAATTCTTCTTTTCTAAAGAAAGTAGAAAGTCGTCGAACATTCTTTTCAATCAAATTTTCAGTGTTTGGTGTTAACAAGTCCTATATTATAATCCGTGAATATTTGTTACTATTACACCGTATAGTTTAAATTTGTTGTTCATTCATATTATAATACGTGAATTAGTAATAAAATTAAGATATTATTATGGTCACAAATTAATATTTCTCCTCTTTACCAACATTTTCCTTTTATTTTATTTATAGTTTTCAACATTTCTTCTAATTCCCTAGAAATGCAAAAACAACTCCCTTGTAGATTTCACATTAAACCAATTAAATATATTCTAATGTTAGAACCCATTCCAATCAAATCCTTCATTTTTATAATGTACTAAAAAAAAAAAACTCGTCAACGAGTCCATAGTTTATTGGTAAGAGCATTTGCATGCAAATTAATGATTTCAAGTTCGAACTCCAATGATTAAAAATAAAAAAAAATTATCATTAAATCAAACTTAATCTCAAACCTTAATAGAATTAGATGTGAAATGAAATTTTTTCTTCTACAAACATCTTTCAGCGTTGACAAGAGACGTACGAAACCAACTAACTATTTTGAGGTTTGAATCTTCCTTAAAAAAAACTAAACAAAACCTAAATATGATTGAATTTTAAATTCTCCATCCGAGACAACTATGTGACCCCACCAAATTCATCAAAACCGATTAAATTAGGTTGGTCCCTTTATATCAATTTGATTGTACATTTAAAACAAAGCCATACGTGTGCAATACATAATAGATCTTGAGAGCGAGGCCCACAATATAGATAAGAGGTTGCATTTTGTATTATCCCTTAGATGGATTTTTAAATTTTTTTTTTCATAGAACATCTATATCTATATATATAAAGCAAAATACAGAGAATAGTAAAACGTTCAAAATACCAGAAAATGTCCTTATTTAATTCAAACATTAAGAATTGAAATTATTAATTAAACGAGGATAATATGGTAAATTGATATTTTTTCATATGAAAAAAAATCAAAATTAAAAACAAAATTAAATAATAAGTCTTACTTTTATGAAACATAATTATTTATGTTATTTTTTCTTAATTATAAAAATAAAATAAAAAATAAAAAATAAAACCAATTGACACATAATGCGAAGGGCTAGTTTAACATAAGACAACACCCATAAATTCATGATATAAATGGGTTTTTGCATACAACATTTCATATATATGAAGAGAGGTTAGAATTTACATCATCCTCCTATAAAAAGCATGCCTTGTCCTAACCACCCCACTACCCAATCGAAAAGTACAAAACCGCATTACCCACAGAGAGAAAAAGGAGAGAGACAAAGAAGAAAGCTTCCCTCTTTGAAAAGTCACTCACTTTCTCTCTCTGCCCAAAACAAAAAAAAACGCTAGACCAGAAAGCCCAAAAGCAAAATCGTATATATTATCAGAATCTTGAGCTGCAGAGTCTTGCAATCTTTGTATGTTATTGGGTTGGGGTTGGTTTGGTGTGAAATTGAATCCTTTGATTTTGACTTGTTTGGTTGGAGTTTAAAATGCTGCAGCTGCTATTCGCGGTGGCTTTCTCGGCGGTGCCTTTGACCCTCTACGTGCCGCCGATCCGAAGCATCAACCTGTTCGTGGAGACAATCGAATACTTTCTCCGCAACACCGCCGTCTACAGCATCAGACTCTACCCTCGCCTCCGGCACGCCTTCTCTCGTCTCCTCAACTCCTTCCTCCACTTCTCCAGGTAGACCCCACACTCACGCCCGATTTCCTCAATTCTTCTTCAACCCATTACATTGCTCAGCTCACCCGACCCGAACCCGAACTACCCGAGTTTTTTTATATTTTTTTTATTGTATAATTTTCTTTTAGTTTTTAGGAGGGATGGGTTTGTAAATTGTGAGTTGTTTGTGATGTTTTAATTTTGTTGAAGGGGGTGTTGTTCATGAAATTATATGATTGGGTTTTTTTTTGTTTTTTTTTTTTGTTTTTTTTTTTTTTTTTTTTTTGGGGTTTTCTTCTTCTTTGTGTATTATTTTGCATATTAATTAAAACAACCATTATTAATAATTTAATTGGGGTTCCATAACCTCAAATTATTGCAACCATATCTCTATCTTTCTCTATTGGTGTGTTGGTTTTCTTGGGTTTTTGTGGTTGTTTAATATGGGTATCACCATCCACAAATTATCTCTAATTCATCATTTTCCCTTTTGAAAACTTCATACCTAAAATCATTTCAGACATTGTAATGTTTGCGAACGTTGTAAAGTACAATGACCAAAATAGATTTTCGGCATAAACACAGTAACGAAAAATGTTTTTAACCCTTATACTTTTAAAAAAAAATTTTTAAATAAAAGAAGAACATGCTTAGCATATCTTTAAGCAGCTTAATTAGCTTCAGCTTCATTCACAATGAGTTGCAAGATGTGGTTGCACAACCACAACTCTAGAACTAGTAATTATTTTTAAGCACTGAATGTTGAGATATAAAGCACATTTCTTGCACGTTTCAAGTGAAACCAACAACCCAATTTCCAATTCATTACAAAGCCACTTTAGCAAAGTTGAAGGAAACTTGGTTGAGGTGAGGAGGGTCAAAAGAAAACAGAGGTGCGCACCAAAACAGGGTTGGTACATTTTACTTACATGCGCAAAGAAGAAGAATTCAAGACAAACAGAGGTCATAGACCAACCAAAGATTTCAGCACACTTGTCTCTACCTCAGCCGTGGGATTTTTTATTTTTTATTTTTTATTTTTTGTGTGTGACCAAATAGCAGTATGGCTTTGATTTGAAAGAATGGGCAAAGTAAGACTAGTAGTCCTTTTTTAATCTCTTTTTCTCTTTTTGTCTGAAAACATGTGTAAGAACCTTAGGACTTAATTTTTGGGAGTTGATTTTTATGCTTCCTGTATGTTCACTTACACTTCCTTTTATTTTTGGCCTTTTTATCACAAAACGTCATTGACATTTATAAAACTATCATATTGCATTCTTGAAGGTTTTTTGTATCACTTATGGTCCCTAACGTTAATATGGGTGCTTTTAAATAGTCTATATGTTAAAAAAACGGTTAAACTCAGGGATATAATCGTCAAATCAATCCAAAATTATAATATATATATAAGTCTAGAAACCTGTAACCATAACCAGGATTGGGGAAATACAAAAAATCAGGAAATTTGGAACATCCGTCGCAATTGGCCAGAGCCCAAGGCATATATAAGTTTGAAGTTGATTTAGAAATTTGACTTTTAGTGACGAAAAATCTGAAGAACACCATCGCAGAAAATGTTTAGCCACGAAAAATCTTCAAATTTCTGGGCAAAACAGCAGATGTCACCCCCATAAAGAATCAAGGAAGCTATGGTAATTAAGAGATCCACCTTCCTTATATTAATTACCTTCTTAACTCATCCATATTCTTTACTAAGTATTGATGTTTTTGTTTTTGTATTATATATGTAGGCTGTTGCTGGGCATTTTCTGCAGTGGCAGCAGTGGAAGGGATTATCCAAATCAAAACTAGGAAACTGGTCTCACTGTCCGAGCCACAACTTCTGGACTGTACCAGCGGCAATGGCAACCAAGGCTGCAATGGTGGTTTCTTGATTTTTTGTATTGCCTCGATCTTGGTTATGGTTATAGGTTTCTAGACTTATATATATATTATAATTTTGGATTGATTGAATGATTATATCCCTGGATTTAACAGTTTTTTTTTTACAGAGGGACTATTTAAGAGCACCGATATTAACGTTTGGGACCATGAGTGATACAAAAAAACTTTAAGGATGCAATCTAATAGTTTTGCAAACGTCAGGAATGTTTTGTGATAAAAAACCTAATTATATATATTAAAAATTTAGTCTTGTGATCCACACTTGCATTTTTTTATTCCATTTATAATAGTCTCTTGACACGCATTAGTATGTTTTTTATTTTATTTTAATATATCAATCTAAATACAATTTTGTTTGGACATGAGCCTTTTATTTTTCCTAATTATTTGCATTTTAATATTCTAATATTGGTAAGTTTTGATTTTTTTTCTTAAATTAAGGCAAATTTGGGTTATTTGAAAATTTAAACATAAGGGTCTTTTACTTTAGAGTAATGCTACACTTACCACATTTTTATCTCATATTTCTATACCACATAATGTGGTATGTCCATATCATATGCCACATCAATTAAATGAATGAAGTGTATTTTAATAAATAAAATTAGGAAAATAGAAACTAGTATTTTACATGATGTGGTATGTACACATTAGTTGCCGCATCATGTGGTATAAAAATGTGGTAAGACTAGTATTATTCTTTACTTTATTTATTATACTTAGCCTTTCGGCATGCACACCCGGCTGAAATTTTATAATTTCTAGATTGGGAGAAATGTGAATTTGTTGTTGTAATTTTAATTTTAATTTCAGCCGATTAGTTTACCTTTTTACTATGGTTTAATTTTTTTTTCTTTTTGTTTTTAGCATTTTAATTATGGCATTTCTTGGGTTTTTAAAATTTTAACCATAATGGGCTATATATTGATAAATAGACTCCATAAATATGTTATGGTGTTTATTGTCGAATATTTTTCCTACTCTTCCCTTCGTCTATTCTTGTTTTGATAAGTCTTGAAGATACCCTTAGCACCTCTTTTCTAAATCTCAAGCATACCTAATGTAAAAGGAATTTATTTATGCTCAACTTGTCGATACTTGGCTCACTCCACAATCCTCTCAATGAGCCATAACAGATTTTACCAAAACACTCTCTAGGGCTCGCACCTATTTCATTGATAAAGAGGGAAAATATAACTGTATCCATTCTCTTTATGGTGGTTCAAACAAGCCCAACAAAAATCTTTAAACAAAAGACTCTTACATTTGACCTTGAATGTAATAATTGTTGACTAGTCTTTACTTAGTTAGAATTTTGGTTCCTCACTATATTAAGGTTTTGATTACTTACTCATTTGTTTAGTCCTATTATAATGGAGATTTATTTTCTATTGTATTTAGGGTTAAAAATCTTTTCTATTATAAATACCTTCATATTAGAGAATAATACATATCTTGAGCATATCTGAAAATTTGTCCTACGTTGTTTGACTTTACATCAGAACTTAGTTCTCTTGTGACCTGTGCTTGCGTTCTCCTTGCAATTTAAGTGCTCTCCTCTATCCCTTAAAAAGGGGGGGGGGGGGGGGGGGGGGGGGGAGGGAGTGAAAATGATATGTTTATTGACGTATCCTCATTACTTTGATGTATTCCCATTAAGATGTAGTCTATTTCTTGACACTGACAGCCCTTTCTATTCAGGGAGAGAGGGGGAATGAAGAGCAGTTTTAACTGAATTAGGAGAAATTCTTCTTTGTCATTCCTTTGTCATTGTCAATGATGTTGATGTGTTTCGATTTGTCTCTACAACATAAAAAAAATCCTAATCCTAAACACTACCTATTTCCGATGCATTATACGCCTAGCCTATAATCCTAGCCCGCCGCCACCGTCTACCTTGCCATCATCGCCACTGCTTACCTTACTATTGTCGCCGATGCCGCCACCCTGACATCCATCACCAAGCTTCTGGTTCTACTTCACCTACTGCTTCTCCTAGCCCTATTGTGATGGTTCATATGAAATCATCCACCAACCTACTCTTGGGATTCAAATTGAATGGACCTTTCTGTCGTGCTTGCAGGATTTCTGTGTTCTGCCTTCAATTTGAATGGACCATTCTGTGTTATGCTTTTATGTGTTCTGCTATATGCCCTATTTGTTAAGGATTGCTCTTGTGTTTCTGTTGCGAACTATGATTTGGTTTGTCAGTTGTTCCACTCATGTTTACGACAAGACCTTCTCTACAGTTATGACATTCTCTACAGTTACTTGATTTGGTTAATGTCGAGCATGGTGTTCTATGACTCTCTTGTCAATTTGGGCATGTGAAACATCTTTGCCCCAACTTGAAGGGGAGTGTTGGTGAGTCCTTACTTAGTTAGGATTTTGGTTCCTTACTATGTTAGGATTTTAGTTACTTACCCATTTGTCTAGTTGTACTATAATTGAGAATTTTCTATTCTAATTTATATTTATTTTCTATTGTATTTAAGGTTAATACATCTTTGTACTTCCTTATAAATACCTCCATATTGGAGAAGAATACATATCCGAGCATATCTGAAAATTTGCCCAACTTTGTTTAACTTCACCTACTGGAAGTTGGGGATAATATTGTTGTTGCAAGTAGTGAGCCGCTGACCCGTCTCTCTGAAATTTAACATGGTATCAAAGTAAGGCTTCACGTGGTGGGCCCAATAAGCACACGTGCTCCCACGTCACCCAATATATATTATCCACGTGTTAGGCTTGAAAGCTTGCCATACGTGCGAAGGCGCGTTGAGACTATTTGTCGCACATTGAAAAGTTAAGGGACCTATCTTAGGTTTATAAGGAGTTAGGTTACTCCCCCCCATTTTCAATTGGTTTTAGGGTAGAACATCAACTTCCTTCATGGTATTAGAGCATAAGGCTCAAGTGGTGGATCCAACAATACGAAAACACTGCCCATATGGATGAGAGCGGGTCGTTTAGGTGGTTGCTCCAACAATACACGAGATCTAGTAATAATGACCCATCAATACAAAGACACCACCTATACCAATGTGGGCTTGGCTCCATGTGTGGCCCAGTATGTGGTGGTCACACATGAGGGAGCGTATTGAAGAATATAAGTCA